CCCACCTCCGCAGGCGCGGCGAGCCCCGCCGCCAAGGACAAAAGAGCGGCCGCCGAGCCCCGACCCCGGCACCGCCGCCGCCATGAGCAGCGCCGAGATGGGCAAGTTCAACATCTCCCCCGACGAGGACAGCAGCAGCTACAGCTCCAACAGCAACGACTTCAGCTACCCCTACCCCACCAAGCCGACCGCCATGAAGAGGTGAGGGGGCTCCGCCGCCCCGCAGCCCGCTTCGGCCCGAATTGAAAACGCCGCCTCGGGTCTGGAGGTGTCGCGTGTTGACATGCGTTACAGAAACACGGAAATGGCTGCGGACGTAAACACGCGCAGTGGTTTGTGCGCTGGGCAGGTGGGGTGGTTCTTTCTGGGTCATTCCCTTGGTTTTCTCGTTTCCCTTTGAAGTGGATTGGAAATGCTAAACGGGAAGCGAATGTGCAAGGTGCCTGTGATAGTCGCTAATGATGCAATGTTTTTTACAGCCACTATGCGGATATTGATCCAGAAAATCAAAATTTCTTGCTCGACTCCAATCTTGGAAAGAAGAAATATGAAACTCAGTATGTAAGTACATAGCAAAGACGTTTCAAAAAAAAACGAAAAAGTGTTTTCTTGCCAAATTTATGATTGTTTTAATTCTGAAATAAGTAATAACTTTCTATTAATTATTACCTATCTCCCTTTTCTCAGCATCCGGGTACTACTTCCTTTGGAATGTCAGTATTTAATCTGAGCAATGCTATTGTGGGTAGTGGCATCCTTGGTCTTTCTTATGCCATGGCTAACACTGGAATTGCTCTTTTTGTGTAAGTATCTCTTGGTTCTTCAAAAAGATCTTTGTGCTGTGTAATTAATAATGGAAAAATACTTGATGTAAGAATATGACCTTTATGAAATACCCAGTCATTGCCATAGGTGCAGAATCACATTTTGGGATTTATGGCTTGTTTTAAATTAAGAGATTGTGATACATTCAGAAGGACTTGCAAAAATTAAACCAATTCATTGCAAGTTCTGCAACCACAGAGCATTCTATGGTGAATTTTCCTTTACTTAGCTGTAGTGTCTCCATGAATAATTGATAAGACTTCCCTTGAAAATTCTACTATCCAAGTGGAAGAGAGAGGTGCTACTTAACAGATTGAAGCCTGTATTAGCTTTTTCCTTCAGAGTTCACTAATTGAAATTAATGACGACAGAAACTTTTCAACTGGTGGAGGTCATAATTGCACAAAAAGTACAGGATGAGGCTGTAGAGAGTTAGAATTAAAATGTAGGCCTAAGAGGATTGTTTTCTTTTGTCTCTTGCAATATTGGTATGTCTATTGGCAAAAGCTTTCAGATACAAGACAAGACTATAGTAATGTAGTTGGAAATTGCATGAGGAAACAATTGTGTACAGTGCTTCTAAATGTCTTCGGGAAAGTACATTTTTCAGACATTGGAGGCAGTTCAGCTCGTACAAAGTATCAGTAATACCATGAAATATCAGTGACTGAGTGCAAATGGCAATCCATGGATATGTTTAAAGGAACTTTGTATTTTTATTCTGGAAATAGGTAAATGTTCTGAATGTTCAAGAACAAGTGAGTGGCGTTTAGTTTGAAATTTGCCTTACTCTGTTGCCAGATTACCAGAAAGTTGTAGGTTAGATTTGTTTCCAGATATTTCACAGTATATCAGGGTGGTGTTAAAGATTCCTGAGGAAACTACCGATGTGTATAGTTTTGATCTGAAAGATTTTATTTTAAATATATAGTGATTTGTTAATTTTTTGCTAAGACTTTCACTTGGTTAGATGGTGCTAAACTGAATGAACAGCTTAGCAGCATGAATTCAGAAAAGAGGTATTTCATCTCTCCACACATCAGTTTCATGCTCTAAAGATGTTCTGCAGCACATGTAAGATAATCAGTGTAATGCACATTAGAACATTTCTGAGCAAAAAAAGAATTTAAGGGTAGATATTTGAACAGATTTGCATATAATGGGGGACTTTTCTCCTGAAGGAAAAAAATGATCAAAACTGTCAATTTAACAATTGCATGCTCAAGTCGTTTAGTTACCTTTCATTTCCAGATACTGCATTCAGATCTATTTACGTTAGTACTGATTCAAAGATAAGCTAGCTTGTTACCTTTCAAAACTTAGTGTAGTTCATATAGTTCCAAGGCAGGAAAGCAGTCAATCACTGATGATACTGAGGATTTATGATGACACTGAGGGCATTACAGACATCCTTTAATAACTAGGTTACAGATTCACATCCAGATGCAGTTGATTAAGGCAGTAAATTCTTCGAAGGCTGTGTGGAGTCACTTGTGTCAGTGCTGTGAGTTGTCACTTGTGTCAGCACTAAATAAATGAATGATACGGTCTGGAAGCCAGAAACTGAGTGAGCTTCGAGATGAGCTTGCTGACTGATCTTGTCAACACTGTAGGCAGCCGTTTGAGGTTAGGACTGAGGAGTCCAGGATCTGCGCTGTTTTAATTAAATGTAACCGTTGCACATCTTACTGTGCTGTTTCTAGTTGATGGCTGAATTAAATCCTGCTTTATCTCTACCTGTCAGAAATAGAGAGGTTTATTTGTGTGCATGTGTTGGTGTTGAATTGGCACAGTAACACAAGTTTCCTGGATTCCTTGTACAGATCTGCGACGCTTTTCTCAGATGTTCTTGTTTCCAGTTCTTTGTGCTGTGTTTACTAATTTCGCCAATGTAAAAAATGACACAAAAGCAAATGTAAAGAGTATTCTGGGAACTCTAAATGGAGCTTGCCATTTTTGAGCAGATGTGCTGATTCTTAGGTTTCCTATAAAGCAGAATGCTTGTATGGGTATAAGAAAGGCCAGAGGTTTTTTAAATGTGTTGTAATTTTCCACTGTGTTCTTCAGCAGCTGAGAAGTCCCCCCTAGTGTGCCACTCCAGGAAGTGCATTTGTTGTGGGGGAGATTTGTTGTTGAGAGATGTGAATTTTAGATGTTGCAACTGTGCTTCTGGAAACAATATATACTGTGTGTAAAAGCATGGGGAAGATAAACAAGCGACTAGCGATTCCCATGTAAGCATGCATGAAGAGTAACTTTTGAGAAAAAAGTACTCTTTTTTTTTTTTAATGACAATAATACTTCCATTTGAAGACACAGCTCTGAATACATCTGAATTTTCTGTCAGTTCTTTAAGGCTTTGGCAGTTTCATCTTTACATAAAAAAAAGACATAACAGATTTAAGATGAAAAGCTGATTTGTTCAAGACAGAGAGAGAATCTTCACTACAGTTAGTCACAACTTGATGTTCCATAGATTCGTGACATACTGTTGCACAAGGATAGGAAGACAGGAGAAACACAGTTTCTTGCAGTAATACAAAACCATTCCCATTAATACTTTGTTAAGCTATTTATACCAAATGTAGCCAGTTATAATGGCCTGACACTTGCCGGTGGTTATGCCACCTTACGCTGAATATAAGCGTCATTTAATCCTACACTAGAATTTCTCTGTATGCCAGTGAAATGCATTTTAGTATAAAATCCGTGCTAAACTAGGCATTAATTGGGTTTTCAGAACACTTTTAGCTGGCCTTAGAATCTACAGGCTTTTCCCAGATGATACTTTAATATGATTAATTTTTATGTTTGATCTGCATTTATTTAATAAGGTTACAATAAGTCATTTATGGCTATTAAAAATTTGCATGTTTTTCCCGCCTCAGGATACTCCTCCTGTTTGTGTCAATATTTTCTTTGTATTCAGTGCATCTCCTTTTGAAGACTGCCAATGAAGGAGGTAAGGCAATTACTATTTTACGAACATACGGTATTTGTTCCATACGGTATCTTTGTGAAACACACCCTTCCAATGGATTATTTTGTTTCCTTTTAGGATCTTTGTTGTATGAACAGTTGGGAATGAAGGCATTTGGTATGGCTGGAAAACTTGCTGCTTCTGGATCAATTACAATGCAGAACATTGGAGGTGAGGACAAGATCTTAAAATGTCTGTACTGTTAATACTAATTGTTCCCTACTTACTCTTGGAGACTTTTTTTTCACACAACATGTGTTCATTAACTGCTTGTGTTCAAGTGAAGTTATGAAACATGTTATGTGATTCTTGCATCTTGTGGCATATTCTATATTTGTAATGATCTATGATGTTATTCACCTACAGCTATGTCAAGCTACCTCTTCATAGTGAAATATGAGTTACCATTGGTCATCAAGACATTTATGAACATCGAAGAGACCACAGGGTAGGTGTTAGAACTCCTCATCAGAGAAACTATTAGGAGAAACAAATACGGAGACTGTATATATTTTTATATGAAGACCACGTTCGGTACACCATAGGGTAGCTTCTTACTCAGACAGAGATACAGTAAGTTTGCCCTTCCCCTGAGTGCTCCACTTCATTTAGATCCAGCCTGTTCTGGGAAAAGGGTAGAAAAATACAGGTATTGCATCATATTACAGAATGCTGTTCTCTAAAGAACATCAGGTAAGTGTTAATGTATGTACCAGTCAGTACATACTCTCGATAAGGAAAGGTAAATGTGGTTATGGTTGGGTGTGGTTTTTTTTTTTTCTTACTGCATTCCAACTGGTTTGGACTGATTATTTTGGTTTTCTAGTGTTAATATCGTGGGAAGTGATTAAATATAAGACTAAGGTGCAGTTACGTAATGAATGTCTTAAGGAACAGTTCTCAAAAAGACATGGGACTAAACATTGAATGAAAACAGAGTTTATATGCCCAAGACTAAAATGGTGGATGTATTGCCATTTAGCCCTGGAGACACCTTGACTCCATAGTGGCTTTCCTGCTTGGCTTTAAAAGTGGGTATCTTGGGTAGGGTTCATTTTATCTAACCATACTATCTGAAAGTTAGATTTTGAGCTCATTGTTACTCTGGTCTTTGTATAATCAGTGGAAAAAGGTGATCCTCTGTAGTGGTCAGTTCAGTGCACCTGGCTTAGACTCCTGTTTTGGGCATCTCCAGAGAGTGATTTATCGTATCACTCTATATTGAAAGGGTGTGTAAAAACAGCTATCTAAAACAAGATGCCTGACTTCAGATGGATAGAGTTAAGTGCTATAAATCTCACTCTTCAGAGTTGTACTTCTGTGCCTTGTCCTGAAGTGTCCCAGTCTTGAGAGGGCTGAGCAGCTCAAGACTCCAACTTACACCTAAGCCTGAGTTCAGAAGGTAGGCATTTCTCTGCCTGTGTTCCCCAAGGGGTTCAAGCCATTTGGTGTTCATACAGCTTGCTGATAGATATTGTCATGACAACAGTGGTAGCCATCTCTCTTTTTTTTTTTTTTTTTTTTTTTTTTTTCTTTCCCCCCCCCCCCAACGTACTCAAAGAATGCACCCACCCTATTTATTTGATAGTGTAATGTTTACAAATTTTTTTCTGGGAAGGTTCATTTCCCTCCTTTGGCTGAATTCAAGTCCTTATTTTCCACTTCTTAAGAAAGTCCCTGGAGTAACCAGTACTTAAAAGGGGGCTTGGAGGCAAGTATTTTTAACTGTTCCATCTTCAGAGAAGAATTCAAAATGGGTTGCAGTTCAAGAGGGAAAGTTAAAGGCTGTGAATCTCACTGGATACAGCTGCTGCTCTGCAAATCTGGCAGACAAAATTCAGAAATTGAGACTTGTATCTTCAGTGTTTTCTTGTTGGCTGGTACTAGGTAGCTATACACTGATTTAAAGTAAATTTTTTCTCAGTGCTCTGGCAATTGTGGACCCCATTTAACTGACTCTCTCCATGCGTTGCTTAGGGGAGTCTGGGTGGCTACCATTGGCATGGATTCCACTCTGGCAGCCTCGTGCCTAAAATGTAAGCACTTACCTGTTTAAATGTCCCAAAATAATGCTTACTGTAGAAGAAAATATTCTGGAATTCTGAGACAATATTACAAATACTAGCTCTATTATTAAAACTCGTTTAGCAATTTTTAAAGTACTCAGCTGTATTGTAAAGCTGTGCAATCCCGTTCTTTACTCTTCAGCACAGAAAAACTTCTAAATCCTTGGTCTGAAAGTCGGGATGGCCTTCATGTGGTGCATGCACAGTAACAGTGCACGTTCTTATGACTGTATCAAATGCAAGGAATCTCTGTGCTGTGATGTCTTCTAAATTTACCACGAGACTACTGAATTTTAAAAAAAAAGGAACGAAAGGTACATGACATTAATGTTCTACACATCTGAACTTTCTAAAATACATTTTTTTACCGTTAGTTATCCCAGATAAAACTGGAGAAAGAGATGACCAAATTGTTTATAAAGTATTAATATTTGGGAATAAATGCTTAACGTTACTTGAATTGCTTAAAGCATATAGGATGTTCCTGTAGGGCAGATGAAGAAAGCAGTTACCCTGCCACGATTAAATACTCAAGATAAGTTTTTCTGTTAGTTCAGTGAAATTGCATTATATTTGCACAGATTTAACTTTCTTTTTCTGTGTTTCAAAGGAAGCTGTTAATCTTGTAACACTCCAAAATGTTTTGTCAAAAAATAGCTGCTGCTTCTTATGGAATAAATGCCAAAAATGATCTGAAGGAAAAAATTTTCTGAGGTTCTTATCATAGTTTCCCTACTGAAAGGGACTAAACGTGCCTCCAAGAGACTCCCAGTGCTTGTTGGAGTTTTCTCAGCCAGTGGGCTTGAGCTACTGCCTTAACTCCAGCCCTCACCTGTTTTTATTTAACTCCCACGGGGTACCCAACAGGATTTTATTTTCATTAAAAGGAGATCGCCACCCTGCTGGGGCCCTGCAGTGTTGGGAATCAACATTTAAGCAAATTACTGTTTCTCTGTGATTGATCCCAGTTTACTTTTTTCTGACCAGTCATTTACTTTCCTGTCTTCTGACTTTCAGATGCATATTAATTTTAGAAAAGGACACTAAAGGAAAGGCACAATGCAGGTTTGGGGTGAGATAAGAAGGTATTGTAGGGGTTTAGGTCCATATAGTAAGTTGAATGCTAATCCTTTGTGACATCAAGTACTACATTTTTCTAAGAAGCCGTATGTTGTAGGAGAAGATAAGAGTGAAGACTAAACTGCAAATGTTGTAACTTTTAAATTCTTCGATTACTTACAAATACTTCCTTTTTTCTACAGAGAATGGTATCTTAATGGTGATTATTTAGTGCTGCTGGTGTCTGTCATCCTCATTCTTCCCCTGTCCTTACTGAAAAATTTAGGTAAGTGGTAGAGAACAATCAGAATAAAAATGTATTGAAAATACTGTGGGGAAATAGGTCGATACAATGTTTGAGTCTTGCAGTACTATGTGAATTAACAGCTGTTTCCAAACTCGTCTGTTGGGACTAATCAGTGTCTACATAATTGTTGTCAGTCTACTCAAAAAAAACTAAGGAGAAAAAAAAAGATCAAGACAAGTATCTTAAGTTACAGATGTGTTTGTGGAAAGCAAAAGGACAATAGATAGGGTAGCTTTAGAACAAGGCTCAACAGTAACTTTGTGTTTGTGTTTTTACACAAAGTTTGACCTGTTTTGGTAGTAGTGAGTGAAATAGTATAATACTGTTATTAGCTAATAGTGTTACTAGCTATCTTATAACAGTCTCAAAAGAATAGGGATGCTAGCCCTGGACAGTTAAATTGCCTTTGCACTGTGAATAGAAATCACCTTTTTCATTTTAAGTCCCAAACAGTAGCAGAATATTAATACCGGATGCTTTATCTGAAATGGCTGTAATTCAGTGACATATGTGAATAATTCAGTTAAAACACTATTTGTTCAGAGAATCCTGTAGTGGAACCTTACTAACTGAGAGTCTTGATGTGAATTACTTTCTCAAGTTACTACTTTCTACAAATGAAGTGAATCAATAAAAACAGAAGAGAAAAGGCTAAGTTATCTCATAGTGCATTCTATTAGAATTAGTCCTATAATCGTTCTTAGGATATAATAAACAATTCACGTAGTTGTTGGTGTGGGCTTTTTGTTGTGGGGGGGTTTTTTGTAAGTTATAAAGTTTAATATTACAGACTTACTGTATGTGCAGACCCCAATATGTCTTTGAGAACTTTCAGATCTGGTTGAGAGTAGCGGAAAGTCAATGAATATTTAACTTGTTCTATGTAACACTAAGAAAATGGCAATCTATAAAGAGATCACTGACAGAATATATTTTTTCATAATTTTATGACTTGAACGGTGTTTCTGTTTATTGTACCTTAGATTTTTTTTATCTTTCTTGAACACAGGATATTTGGGCTATACCAGCGGCTTTTCGTTACTTTGCATGGTCTTCTTTCTGATTGTTGTAAGTATAATCTTGTAGACTTCCAGTGCTTGTAAAACTGCATTTCAAAGTGAAATTAAACGCTGTTTCTGAAAAGTTTCACATATTGCATTAGTCAAAGTAACAATAAATACACGGCTTTATTTCTAGGTAATTTGGAAGATGTTTCAGATTCCTTGTCCTATGGACAGTGACATTATGAACATGACATTAATAAATGTGACACTGGCACCTTTGGTAGATGAAAACATAACAAGTGATGATTTGTGCAAGCCAAAGTACTTCATCTTCAATTCACAGGTAACTGACTAAAAATCAGATTCTCTGTTGAAAATAACTAAGGGGGACTACATACGTAGCAGATAAATTAGGTCATTTTTCCTTCAAGTAATTTCCCAGTTGTAAACTTAGGACGTGCTAAGACTTTCTGTTCCAGTAGAGTTAGGCACTGTTTACCTCTTGTAGACTGGGTGTTTTCACACTCCAGACACGCAGAAATTGGAGGAGCTTGAGGTGCCTGCCTGAGATGAGTGGCAATAAACTCATCTGTCATTCTTCAACACAGCATTTCTCAAGTAAGTTAGTAAAGCATTTTAAAAAGTAGATTGCAGAAGATGAAGTAAATAGTAAAAGCATGCGAATGGGAAATGTATGCCAGGGTTTGGAATAGACTTTAAGTTCCCAGTCACAAAGTCTTGACTGTCACGAATGCTCCCAGTTACAGTGGTGAATCTCCACACATGGGGAAGAAGAAGTATGTATAATAGCAAATACCAAGATCAGGCTATAATGGCTTAAGCCTATGAGATGCAGAACATAATTCTGAATGCAAATACATTCAGCTCAACATGGACTTCTGTGAAATTTGAGAGCATTTGGTACCTCAGGGTCTGGGTTTAAGAAAATAGGAACTTGTTTTAATTTTTGCCGAAGTTTCAGTTGTAAAGAATAGCTAGTCTTTATCAAAAACTAAACTGATGCCTAAGTCAAAAATGAAAAAACTACTGATGAATTTTTAAAATTAAATTTCTAATGTCTGTTGAGATACTTAAGAAAGATACTTCTGTTTTTCAGACTGTCTATGCTGTCCCAATCCTAACATTTTCTTTTGTCTGCCATCCTGCAATTCTTCCTATCTATGAAGAACTCAAAAGGTAAATGTTAGATATGTGTCTGTAATTTCACTGAACAAACAAAAGTAGTATAAAACAGTGTATTGCTAACAATGTTTCTTTTTCTCTTTCTTACAGCCGAAGCCGTAAAAGAATGATGAATGTGTCCTATGTATCTTTTTTTGCCATGTTCCTCATGTATTTATTGGCTGCTCTCTTTGGATACCTGACGTTTTATGGTGAATATTGCCTTCTCTGTTTTCTTTTAAATTAATTACGTGCTGCAGAACTACAATATTCATTTTAAGTTAGGGCAAGCAAGCATTCACTATGGGTTCTAAATATACACTGTTTGTTGGGGGGTTTTTTAATACTTTTGTAAGTGCACACCGAAAAGGAGATCAGTAGTAGAATTAGGCCCAAGGCACAGGATTAGAACTGGATCAAAACAGATTCAGTGCCTCCAAGTTACCCCTGTGTAAAGTGGAGACATGCTTACAGGAGCTGTTGAGGCTTTCAATTCATATGGCTATAACTGTAAACTTTGCTTAGGATTTAGAGCAGAAGTGGTTGTTTGAGAAGTATGTCAGCTACATCTAATTAAAATACTGTTTTGTTTATAGGAAAAGTTGAACCAGAACTGCTTCATACCTACTCTGCTTATCTGGGTGCTGATGTTCTTCTTCTTATTGTGCGTCTCGCTGTACTTATGGCTGTAACCCTTACTGTACCTGTAGTTATTTTCCCAGTAAGTAATTTATTTTTTTAATCTTACTACCATTTTTTATTTTCATCATCTGTCCTGCTGGCAGTCATTTACTGATTTGGCAACTCCCATTTATAGAATCTTTCTCTTAACTGGGAAAGGAAATTTATTTTAATAAGTTTGAAATATCTCTGTACTGTTAATTCAAATAAATTAAATAATTAGGCAACATTTACAAAGCAGTAGATACGAATACGTTCATTTACATTGTTTTCCTGGTATGGTTTAATTGGGGGAGTGGAACAGATTGCCCCTTATAAAAGTACTTGGACTATTGTATTACCAGTTTACAAAAGTCAGTGTGTTTTTGTAAGTACATTGTGAATGTGAATTCTGGCCATTTAGGTGTATATTGTTGAGCAGCATCCTTAGATGTTACAAAAATCCCTGGGATTTATTTTGTTAAAGACAGATGTTTTTCCTTGTGTTTTCTCCATTACTGGCTGTGCTTTGAAAATCTAAATCACTGAAAAGAGAAACAGACCAGAAACACAGAGCTGCCTCTCAAGTGCAGAAAGTAAATACTTTTAAAAAAAAAATAATGACTTTCATAGCTTTCAACTTCTCTTAAAATCTGAAGCGTTCAGGAGAATTATGTTAAAATACCTTCAGAAGGAAGGTCTAATTGAGGTGACAGTCACTGACTTCCACAATGAAGACTAAATTATCTTTTTTTCCCCCCCCGCCTCCTTCTAAAGATACGCAGTTCCATTACCCAGCTGTTGTGGGCAGGGAAGGAGTTTAGATGGTGGCGTCACTGTTCCATTACAGTTGCTCTTCTGGGGTTTACCAACATGCTTGTTATCTTTGTCCCTACTATCCGAGACATCTTCGGATTCATTGGTAAGCATTTTCATGTCAGTTCAAGTAGTCTTTCAGATCTCAGAAAATGCAGTATGATCTAATTAAATTATATTTACCTGTTTATGAATATTTATTTCTATGCTTTTTAAATACAGGTGCATCTGCGGCTGCCATGCTGATCTTTATACTTCCTTCTGCCTTCTATATCAAATTAGTGAAGAAGGAACCAATGAAGTCAGTGCAAAAGATTGGGGTATGTATAGACAAATACGTAATAGTTACACTTGCTTACTAATTCAGAGCAAGAACTTCAGTTTCCTTCTTCACAATTTAAGAATTTTGAAGTCCTGATGAAGGTAGTCAGTGAATTGGCATTTGATGTTATTTTGGTTAACACGTGGGAGTTGCATAGGTGCTCAAAACTGAGGAGAGAGCCATCACAAGACTCAGTTCACTTCAGGGACTTCTCTCACCCTCCAGCCCCCAATCTCAACAATAGTTGGGTCATTCTGTTGCTGAAAAGAACCAGATTGCAACAGATTACCCTGAAGAGCTATAAAAAGTCTTGTCATTCTCCTTTACATGTTCTTTGAATACTTATTTACGTAATTTACCACTTAAAGCTGACCTCCACCAATCATTTGGGTTGTCCTGACTGATCTTGGTGCTCTTACTGGTCTTGGACATACTGACGCAGAATCAAATCTAAGACATACTGAGTCAGAATCAAGTCAGCTCAGCCTGACTGGTAGCAGCAGCTACTTTAATTTCCCTCAGTTAAGGTTGAGGTCTTCTATACTGAAAATAAATGTACTTTTTTATTTGAAAAAGAACCCCAAGTATGAGAAGGATACATAGCTCCTTATTGTTTACTGTGATCTCTTGTCTTTTTTACTTTGTCCTCCATGAGCAATGGCATTTGTGCCATAGATGGGCATGACTTTACGGGTATAGTAGCAGAAACTAAAATACTACTTTTTTGTTTTCTTTTTTCAGGCTGCGTTCTTCTTTCTAAGTGGTATACTTGTGATGACTGGGTGTATGACACTGATTATTCTAGACTGGACCCAGAACGTTGCATCTGATGGCCATTAACTGTCCTGGTTTAATCTCTAATACTCCACTTCAAATGCCAGTGTTCACTCAGATACCTACTGAGAACGAAAATGAGCTATTCAGCTTCCTTCAAAATGCAGATTCTTTGTTGATGGTTCTTCTGATTGTAGAATACGCAAACTCTGTCTTTAAGAAACTGTTCTGCGTGATGGAAGTGGATATTTAAATCAAACCACGTGAGTGTCTGGCTGAAGGAAGTGACAACTTTATTCCATTCCAGAGAATGGACAGAACTCGCTGTAGACTTTTATCAAGCCATGTTTGGCTTCCGTCATTGTTACTTGGATATTTTGTTATTTTACTTGAATGTGCCTAATGGAACCATTTGATGTGAGAAATAACTCTTTAATTTACAGCAAAGTGTTTAAAATAACCAATGAGAGAGAGAGAGAGAAACACTATTATTTTTTTGTACCAAAAATTATTATGGACCTCAAAAGCACTATTTTGACTTTAAGAAACATTTTTCTAAAAAGAATGAAATAATAACATAGAAAAGCTCATAAAAATATTTAATCAGTGTCCTAAATTAAATCTAGTTTGCCTTTCTGTGAAGGCATAATTAGAAGAAATTTTATTTTAAAAAAATACTTCTAATGACCAAAACAGAAAATGAACCAATTGAAGTCAAAATTCTCTAATTATAAATGCTTCCCGTGAAATTCACTTCGTTCAAAGTAGAGTGAAAATAATCCTGAAAATCATTTGTCAGCTTACTTAAGTAACTACAGTTACCCTAGTTCCCAAAAATGATACGGAAACCCAAATTGTCAAGCTTTAAAAAAACCCACCCTTTAGAACGGGTACGTTTGAGAAAAACGTAGCTAATCTAGAAGTTGTAAAGATGGGTGTTGACACTTCCCTTCTTGAGGTACTCAATAGTGCAGTTGGGTGAAACAGGGTGTGGGGGTTTTTCGCTTTTTGTTTTTTTCTTCTGTTGTAGATATAAACTGAATGGCACTCGAGCATATCATGCCATTAATATAAAACTCCCTGCTGGAGTTCTGTCTATTAATAAGGTTCATTGTCAGTTATAGCAATGTTTGTTGGGCTTTTTTTCTGTTCAGTCTATCTTGAAACACTCTGTAGGAAAACAGAAAGGTCCTAATGTAGTTTACTAGTTGTATAATACTCAAAAAGTGTACAGTATTTCTCAAATTAGTCATCCATTATTGGATTTTGAATTACTTGACTATTCTGTTTGTGAGTCAAATCCACAAAATAACTGCACCAGTATTTCATGCTTGGTACAAACTCTCTTCACATACGCAACTGGGATTCCTCTTCCAATTTATACTGTATAGTAGTATTAAAGATAACCTCATAGACTGGATAGTCATCTCATACTTGTTTGCTTCAGAAATACGTAAGTTTCTTATGAGCCCTAGCTAGCTAGTTGATGAAACAGGTGCTGTATGGTTGCGATTAGCTGTTTTGTTTCTAGTGCATGTTTACTCTTTCATTCTTATCCCAGGTTGAAGAGAAATAACACTTGTATAACAGCATACTTGGCTTATAAGAGGTTCTCAAACACAGCAATATTGGGTACAAAAGCCTAGATAGAGATTATTAATGAAATAATCATGGCAATGTGGTCAACTGTCTCCATCTGACATGATGCTTTAAAAATCTGATTTACAAAGTTCCGCTTCGTCATTGTGTCAGAGGGAACAAGTAAGGGCCTGTAATCCATTGATTAAACAGTGCCTGAGACTTTTTTGCTCTTGTAGAATTCATCAGGAACAAATCTAAATGATAGTCACTGGCAGATAATGTCAATCCCTGCCCAGCCATTTAAAACCTATGAAAAAAACTGCAGGTATTTTGTATTGATAGTTCTGCATGACTGTAAGTACTGGTCACTAAGTCTGTAGTGTAAAACTGTAATGAGAAGTTAGATTCCTCTTGTGTTGTTTGTATTATTAGTTCGGTGGTACTCAACTGGCAATTAACGATCCTGGAGTCAGCACTGACCAACGCTCCTTAGGTACTTCTCTGCCTCAGGTACTGTACATCCATGGCTAACTATCCTGTGTTACCTGATCTCCGCAGAAGTGCTGAGCATGTGCCTCCTCAGTACTTTGGCAGCTTTTCTTCTTCCTCTCCGCAAATGTAGAAAGGTGGAAGAGGATTAAAACGTTAGTCTACCTGTGAGCAATTTGTAGCACATAAGGGATGAAGCGCTTCCCTTGCCAGCATTTAAAAAAAAAAAAAAAAAAGGAAGTGAGAAATAGCCACCTCTCTCTCCGTAACCATAGAAGAGGAAGGAGGTGTAAATGAGAAGTTACTACACAGTCGTCCTCAGCAGCCAGAGAGGAGGAAGATTTTTGTGATGACACCTCATAATACATCATACATGTCACTTAATTCTCTGAATGTAGCAATTTCCAGATTTTACGTTATGTGTTGCATTATTTGATGACTGGCTCTCCACCTGCAACAGTTGAGTTCCACATGGCTGGGTTGATTTCCAACATATGATTTATTTAATTATATTATCTTTTTTCAAACCTGTCTGCTTAAAGTTACCTACATTACAAACCACCTGAGAGCAGCTTCAGTATTAAACCACTGTTTTGTCACCTCAGTTAGACATTACTGTCTTCCATGATATTTCAGTCATAAATGTAACATGTTATTTATAAAACATTAATCCATTAAAACTAAACCTATTTTTCAATATTTATGATAGTCTATGTACATAAATTGTATGTGTGTATATACTGTAAGTATAATGTATATAATGTAGGTTTGGAATCTGGGATTTATGTATATATTCCTCTCTCATTACTGATTGTTACATCATTTCAAGGCGTTCATGTTGTACATCTGTATAACAACCGTCAAAGGAAAGACTCTTTTACAACAATGTAATGCCTACAAAAATAGAAAAAATGTGTTAACGCCTAAGGTGTGTAAGAAAACGCTAAGACTGTATTTATTACAAATGTATATGTTGCAATAAACACAGGAGTCACTTGGGTCCATAAAAAGCATCGTTCAGGTTCATGTATACTTTTCCTTTAAAATCTACCATGGATGTTACAATTTCCTGAATGCGTAACTTAACAACTTTTACGATCTGACGTATTTGTTAGGCCACCAAATTCAGGCATCCTACGGTACATCCGTGTACATATGTAAATACCCACTGTATTGTTAGAGGCCAACAGTCTAGCTACAGTTGTTGGCAGGGAGTGCAACACAGTTTCAATGAAACATTGTATGTTTGTTTTAACTGAAATAAATGAAATAAATAAATAGATAATCTTAAACAATGTCATGGTGTTTTTTTTGGGGGGAGGCATTTGAAGGGTTTTCAAAAATACTGAAAGTGTATCTTTAATTTCATGCATGTTTAACTTACGAGCACTTTTCAGGAAGGAAAAAAAAAGGAAAAATAGCATACAACAGCAAGTCTGGACATTAAAGAAAATGAGAGATTAGATTCTGCAAGGAACCTGTATTATGTCATTTTTTTGCAGTACAGGCGTAGCTGGAGACAAGACTCAATGTGTTAGATCTTGTGTAAGAAATGAATGAATCTTGCCAAAATCCTATGCTGTTTTCCTGCAACTGAATCTCCAGGAGAAGAATAACTGCTTCTGTAAAAATTTTCAAAACTGGTGCATCTGTTTTACTTGTAATTTAGCAATTGGGTACAATCCAAGTGCAGCATGTCAGTTCTTCGTTCTCCAGAAATCTCTATCAATTCATACAAATTTTTGTCATTCCCAAATACTAAGAATTGGGTGTGAGAGACAGCAGGGGTGTAACTCAGTGTGTTACATATACAACAGAACACTATGAAAGGAATATTAAAGAGGCATGGTTAAGTACCCTGAAATTAGGAAATGCCTCAATTAAGGTTGCTTTAATTACATGATCGCGTAGTATTTTTTTGGTGGAACCCCCACTGAGTAGCTATTCATTATTTTTTACCATGTTTTCTGTATGTTCACTGTGTTTATGTATTTGCTCAAAGTCCAAAGCCCATCCTGATGAGGGATGAATGTCCTCATTTCTCTCTACTTCTCATTTTAATGTCATCTTTGTGAAACACAGATGATTACTCATTTTCACAATGTCACAGGCCTGTAAGAAGGTGTTAATCAGTCTACGCATCTGGGGACCTGAAGTGTGGAGAGACAGCACTATGAAGCAGCCATGTATTTGAGTCCACGATTTAAGTCCCACACTTGCTTATTTTGTATTTCAGCATTTGCTTACATGCATCTGAAGCGTAACTGCATGCAGGTTTTGAGTGATCATCATCCCTGAAACAAGAACCCTAAGCATCAAGTTAGCCACTTGGAAACGGTGGCCACGCCTGGAAATGCTCATTCTCACTACCTGCCTATCCTCACACAGGAATTTCATAGCTGTAGAGAAGCCCTTTCCCTAGAACGCTGCTTGACTAATTGAACAATTAAGCCTGCCTCTCCGCAATCAGGTATTTCCATCAACTTAAATAATATCTGAAGTAGTCTTTTCCACACACTTTGATTCCTCCCAAGAGCTGGCTCACCCTATGTGATGAATGAGACGGTGCAATGATTAAAAAAAAAAAGAAACAGAAATTACTTTGTGTGACAGTGTCTAAAATCCTGTGCTTTGAACCTCTTTACCCACCACAAGGCCTTTGCTCCAGAAGAGGGATAAGCTGTCACTTAGGGCTTAATCACAATGCTGAGATTTGGGAATCTCTTGAGGCCTCTGCAGGTGAGAGATGGCATCTTTACTTTCTTCTGGTTCCCCTGAAGTTTACCTCTTTTCCCCCCTGGCCTTGCCAAGTCAGTTCTGTCCCAAGGTCACGCCTAGGCACATCACCCCCAAGTGTTCATGCAGCAGCTGGATCGCAGCAGGTCATGCCCTAAGGTCCTCCATGGCTTAGCTCATACAGCTGTTTGTAAGGCAGCGCAGCTCCCATTCAGTCTGTGTGCCCAGGTTTCCTTTCTGAAGAAACAGAGCAGAGGGTGGCGGGTGTATGCCCAGGTTTCAGGGCCAGAAGGAGCTGAGACGCCACGAGGGAGCCCCGAGTCCTGCCCTTCTGGGAATGTGGACATGCCATCCCAGCTCCAGTGCAGATGGGCCCAGCGCCGCTTCCTCGGCCTTTCTGGTTTCAGTCTCTTGAGCACGACAGGCTAAACCCCACCTGCTTTCACGTGCATTTCCTCCTGTCTTTTTGCACAGCTGGTTTTGGCTGTCATAAGGTGACAGCTCTGTCACTCTTGCTCTGACTCCAGTCCAAGTTTGCCAGCTTCCCAGCAACACCACAGCTCCTCCTGTGAGCCACCTGCCCTCATCTTACTACCTTCCCGACT